TAGGACCGCTCGAGAGAGGCTGCTAAAATATCAGGACCAAAACGGGCTGCTGTAAAGGAGGACTAGGATGGCGTTCTGTACTTTCAAAGCACGGACGCTTGTGTCCGAAGCGAGTATCGAGAATGTGATGATGCAATTTAGAAGGATCAACTACTATAAAATCAGACTGAATGAAACGAGAATGCATCGTTCGTTCGTTGCACGACGCTTTAGAGACAGGAGAAGAATTGTTCCTTGCAACATGGCACAGCGTCGGCGGTGAAAATGTTCTGTCAATATGCACTTGTGCATGAACGCAAGCTTGACAGTCCGACTAGGACGTTTGCGACTGAGAAAATGTGTCTCAACCTCAGGTCAACAGTCTTCGTTGACTATGCAACAACAAGCTATGAAAAAGAGAGCTGCAAGCGTTTTATAGCACTGACAAAAAAGCTTTTCAGAGAGGACCACACTTTCCTTAATGTCATCGTGATTTCAACACCGAGAATGATCCAAGAATGGCTGAAGATTATATCGGGAGACGGAATGGAATCGTCAGGATAAAAGGCCGTCGGATTCATCATGTCAACAAACACCATCCATAGTAATTCACGGTTGCAGGCTTCTTTTTTGCGATTGACACGGAAATAATTTTGGTAGACGGTCACACAATGACATAGATCACTTCACGTCGCAGTTTTGCGACGTCACCACCAATTTAAGCTCAGCATTGAAGTTACGCTTCAATGGCGAAGTTTCAGAATGCTGTGCAGAGAGATCATCGATCACTAGCACATTTGAATCACATACAGTGCCACGGCTACAGAAGAGGGGGTTAAGATGTCAAAAAAAAAGTTTGCCGAAACTTGCAAAAACGTAGAAGCTCATATCCAGGTAGCCAAGAGTGTATAATGGTGAAGCTGTTGTGATGATTATTGGCGGATAGAAACCTGGAAATAAAAGCAATGCAGATCGTAACTGAATAAGACAAAATTACTAATCAGTAATTCAAACGGAGAAGGGAAGACTGCGAGGAAATGAACACCCGCGAACTGTCACCGTTTGAATTGGAGCGCGTTGATTTCACGTTCAACAAATGCCCGTCTTAGTGAGCATTCCTCACTACTTGGGCGGCTTTCATAGTCATTTTGTGTATGTACAATTGTTATTACGCGTTATACCTGTCCACCAACTTAATCTGTATTATGAGCCCGGTGAGATTGACTGTACCTATGAACCACGCACGCTTGGCGATAAGTCCGCTGTGTTTTTTGAATTATGCCTGGGCTGAAGATCCTCAGTGCGGTTATCTCACATACTTTGTTCATGTACCTGCTTGAGATTGCGTTCCAGTCGGGGACTTCGAGCCGGAACTCACAGGACGCCGGTCCTTGAGAACATTCTGTAACAAAAATGGGTACTATTCCACTATTACAACCCCAAAAACTCAAAATTTTAATTTTCGATGAAACTTCCTCTATAGGGGTAATCCGATGCTCTGATAACGAATATGACCTTTATTTTTGGCGCTGGCGCCAAATTGGCGCAAATTGGCGCCAAATGGCGCCAGCGCCAAGAGTGAAGGTCATATTCGTTATCAGAGCATCGGATTACCCCTATAGGCGAAGTTTCATCGAAAATTAAAATTTTGATTTTTTGGGGTTGTAATAGTGGAATAGTACCCAAAAATGATTTGTCCCCGCAAAACTGATTCGAGTGACGAATAATCCGCTCAGTGCTAGGATCAATGCACATTTCAGTTGAAGAATGGTTTCCCTTAAAATCATTTATGTCCATAAGTTTTTTTCCAGATTGTATGAGGCTATTTGATCATATTCAGTCTCTATACGAGCATGAACTGTATGAAGATCTCGTATTCCTCCATGAAATGATTCCCAATTGGGACAGGTAGTGTTTCAATGTTCATGTGGAATTTAACTACACATAAAAACCAAAAAAAAGTAGAAGATTTTAGCCTGAGCGCGAAGAATGAGGCTCTCATGGCAGTTTATGTAGCGGATGCCTATTTCGAACTGGAGAAGTACTCCCTGAGCCTGCTGGTGAGTGGACTCCGAATTGTGAAACTTCAGATCAGTAAAACTTTAGTGGTTATAATTTCTAAATATTAGTGACTTTTTCTTTACAAGGGTTACATTGCTATTTATTGCAAATCCAAATATAAACTGACAGCGAGTCAGTGCTTTGCTTTTATTTTTCACGACGTTTCGTCGGTTGAGGTTGTGTAATGTAGATTTTATAGTGGATATTTGCGAGTTGTTCTATAGAAGTGGTGTAGAAGCTTGTAAGTCACAATTTCATGGCTATGTACTCACTGTTTTTAATTTTATTTAGCTTCATTCTAGGAAGGTAAGTTGTGTACTCGGTATTTTTCAGAGCTACTTTCGAGCGTTGCAGTTGTATCCCGAAGTATCCCGTTCTATTCATAACAAGGTGATTTATTCACTTCTGTTGTGCGATCCAGTAGGGCCATTATACACACGCGGTTATTTTCCAGCACTTCTCAGACACTGAGGTCAGATTTCGATATCACAAGTGCTTGGTAAAGGAGAAGAAGTACGAGGAAGCATTGGGTAAGTAATGGACTCAGAAAATCTTCTAATGCGATAGTTCCCCTGGAACATTTGAACCAATTAGGTTTCCCATTTGAGTTTGAAGTAAAGCTCTGTTGAATGGTGGTGCTTCAGCGCATGACAATGTTTTCTTCTTTTCTCTCTTATTAGAGTGGGTCGAGTATTTGTGGTTNCATTAAACAGGTTCGGGTGATTACATACATATTTAGCCAAATGAAAAGCAGAGGCTTCTCGCAGTGCTAAGCCTGCGCTCTCCTTATGAGGTTTAGAACAGAAAATTAGCTCATACTTACCAACTTAATTTTCCCGTCAGCTCACCATTGATGTTTTATTGTCTCAAATTATTTAACAAATCGACGGTTTTTTTTTTTTGAAATTAGGGGTCAAGCGGATCCCTAATAAAAAACTTTGATTTAAAGGGGTAATGTCATGAGTTTTGTGTTATACCCAACCGTGACATTGAAAACTTTTTTGAAGGGTGGAATTAAGTGAGACTTTTGGAAAGGTGTGTATCACACTGTACCATTATATACTACTAGCTATAGTTAGCTACTACTTTCCATAGCTTGCTCGTTTCAAACTTGCCATAATGTTCAAAGTTTTTTTCTGAAACTTCTTTGCATTTTTCACTACGCGCTAAAATGTGTTTTCTGTGGTCACTTAGTCATAACTGGTATTAATTCCACAACAACTGAAAACTTTCTTTGTATGTTTTTTAACGTTCTTTCTGGCGAGGATATGTTTATAAAGCACTTTTGGCCAAAACCTACAAAACCTATTCTAGGGGTTCACGAATATTTATTACGTCATCTCTAAAGGTATGGGTAAACTGCGCGGAACAATCCGGATACTTTTTAAGAATCTTCTTATTTACCTTCACAATCGTTCAACAACCTTCATCTTGTTAGTTTCACTGCATTCTTATTTTTAATACTCCGAAGGTGTTGTATCAATGTTTTAACTTTCGACATAGTAATGACAGAATGCAATAAATCAGTGCGTGAGACTGCCGATTGTCACTGCATTTTATTTCATACAATAATAGTAATGCTGACTGAAATTTCAGCTGTCTTGGCCAAAATACCAGGCCACCAATATATTCCGAAAGTGCGTTATGCGATGGCAAAACTTCTTGCTGGTAAAGATCACAAGGGTGCCAACATGTCAATATTGTATCTTCAGTATGTATCGTTACTTCCTTTCGCTATATTCCCATTATGCTGAAGAGTTTTTTGAGCAACGCTTCCAGGGACGTCTTCGCAAATTGCAATAGTGCTTTTGGTTGTTTGGCTACTGTTCTCAGAGCTGGCGCTCCTATTGCAGCGAACATGGATATCGATGCAATTGGCGAAGGTCTAGAAGGTTCAGGTGCTGCCAACCTTACGACTTGGCTTGAGGCACAGAAGCTTCTCGGAGCTGGACAAACAGAACAAGCTCTGAAGATCATGTCGCTTCTAGGAACCAATAATCCGAAGTAAGCTGACCGTAAAATTTTCTTTTTTCTTTGATCTATCATTTTATGTTCATGTTTTGCTCAGCAATTTTTCAGAATTCTAACCGAAATGGGTCTAGTATACAATAGCTTAGGAATGCGTCACGAAGCTCGCTCTGAATTAGCCAAGGCTCATTCCCTAGACAGCGAGCAGCACTATGCCATGGATACGTTAGCTCTTCTATTTGCACAGGTATACTCTGCTATCTCACAAGAAAGACAGTTTTTCTCGTCATTTTTTCTGATCTCAGATATCTTAGAATACACCGCCTATGGTAAAGGAGTTAGAATCGTTGGCGACTCAGTTGATGAATTCGGACGAAAACACTGTTGAAGCTTGGATAGCTTTCGGACACTGCGCGCGGTGTCAAGGTTCGTCCTTCAAAAGGAAAACAGATTTCGATGCTTCAATCTGAGACTTGTTTATTTTAGGAAAGCTTAAAACGGCATTGTATTTCGCTTACAAAGCTTGTAACAAGACCACGCTTGGTGATAAACCGAAATCTGAAGCGATGATTCTGAAAGCACTTGTACTGCTAGACCTCGGTGAGTCCTGTGCGCGAATTTGTGAGTGAGTTTGCAAGCGTCCACTGATATACGATGTGTGATTCTCCAAGCAAAGCCTTCCGTTTGTTCAATGCCTTCTCTATGTAGTATGGTAAGTATGATTCCAGTGGGTGTAATATGATTCGCCACAAAATCGTCGTATGAGGTTTCTACAGTATAGACATTACTTTGGAAAAGTTGGTGCTTTTCAGCTAACATAACTGTTCTTAGTCGTTATTTCTTTCGAAAATGAGAATGCTTCCGCTGATTGTCGTTTCCCTGTTCATCTTCATGCGAAAATTTTTCTGAGCAACTTTATCACAACTCTTGCTCAGACTTTGAGTCCCACTTCAATATGCTTGGATTTATTTTGTATTTTGGATTTCTTAGACTTATTTATACTTAGTTTGTAATGGAGCTTTGGGTTGCTCCGGTGTGTGTGTGGGTAGATGGTAGATTAACTCACACTTTATTGGCGTAACAGTACAGTAAGATAGGCGCTGCTCAGTGGTGAGACGAACAATCCGTGTGGTAGATGAGCGGGTAGATGAACTGGTAGGTGACTCGTAGATGAACTCACAAAGAGATGAATTCGTCAATCAACTCACAAAGCAACCAAGTGAACACTTACATAGGAATCCTGAGCGCGCCAAAACTGATTGCGCGGGAGTAGATATGTGGTCAGAAAATTGATCAGCAGAGTGATCACGAACTCGAATTAGATAACAATAACAGTGCGATAACAGTTAACATAGGTGGATCGTTAGTTTGGAGGAACTGTGTTGGGGTCCATCCTTTACAAGTTTAAATTTCTTTCGCTTCAGAGAAATTTGATGATGCAATGCGTCATTTGAGTGCAGCCATCAAGCGAGATCTCAAGAACATAGATTTGTATGAATTGCAAATTGTTACCTATTTGCAGCGAGACAAGTAGGTGTTTTAACTTTGTTTGTTGTTTGTTCATCTGAAGAAAGTCATTAATTATGATCAAGTACGTTGTAAAATGTAGCACTTGGTAATTCAAGGATCCGTGAAGCTCGTGCCGCTGTTGCCATTTGTATGCAGAACCTTCCGAACTCACCCAGAGCGCGTGTTCTAAAAGCCCAAGTATTGCTTGCCACTCCAAGTGGTAAAGAGGTGACTCATAACTAATATTTTCTTACTTACTTTCATAGTAGCTACCTCCATTTTATACTCTGTGTCTTCAAGGAAGCACAAACAATCCTAGAGGAAGT